ATTCAGCTTCTGTCGTTGAAAGAGCAACTATCTTTTGTAAGGTAGAACTCCAAGAAACAGCAGTGCCTCCTAGAGTGTATATATAACCTGTAGTACTCTTTCTGCTATCAACATCTCCTGCTAGATCAGCATCTACAAAGCCTTCAAGTTTCAAACCGCCAGCTGTGAAAATAAGACATGTCTCCGATGAGCCTTTTAAGTACCTCATGATCCATTTCACTGCCTCCCAATGCTGCTTTCCAGGATTGCTCATATATCGGCTTACAACTCCCACTGCATGGGCAATATCTGGTCTAGTACAGACCATGGCATACATCAAGGAGCCGATAGCTGAGGCGTATGGGATCTGGTCCATGTATCCACGTTCTAGCTCAGTTTTTGGTGACTGGTCTTTACTGAGCTTGAAATGATTCCCCAGAGGTGTACATACTGGCTTAGCATTATCCATACTAAACCTGTTGAGAACCTTCTTGACATACTCTGCCTGTGAAAGCTTTAGTATGCCTTTGTCTTTGTCTCTGATGATTCTCATGCCAAGTATTTGTTTAGCAGCTCCCAGATCCTTCATTTCAAACTGTTTTGACAACTGTTGCTTTAGCTTGTCAATCTCTTCCATGCTGGAACCTGCAATTAACATATCATCCACATATAGCAGTAGAATGATATAGGAGTTGTCAAAATGTTTGACATAGCAACAATGATCAGCCTGACATTTTGTGTATCCCGTACTACACATGAAGTTATCAAACTTCTTGTACCACTGTCTTGGAGCTTGCTTCAAACCATATAGGCTCTTCTTTAGTTTGCAAACTTGACTCTCCTTTCCTGGTATTGCAAACCCCTCTGGTTGTTGCATGTAAATGTCTTCCTCCAATTCTCCATGAAGAAATGCTGTTTTTACATCTAATTGTTCAAGATGTAAATTTTCTGCAGCTACTATCCCCAGAACAACTCTGATTGTTGTAAGCTTCACAACTGGAGAAAATATCTCAGAATAGTCGATCCCCTTCTTTTGCTGAAACCCTTTTACAACAAGTCTTGCCTTGAACCGTTTGCTTCCATCATGCTCGGTCTTTACTCTGTAAACCCACTTGTTTTGCAGGGCCTTCTTTCCTTCAGGCAGTTTGGTTAACTCCCAAGTCTTGTTCTTCAGCAATGACTCCATCTCATCCTTCATGGCTAACTCCCACTTGCTCGAGTTTCCATCTTGTAAGGATTCTTCATAATTTAATGGTTCACCACCATCGGTCAGCAAGATATAATTCAGTAGAAGTGTGAACCGTTGTGGAGGCTTTATAGTCCTTGAAGACCTGCGAACAGCTGGTTCACTTGGCTCTGCACTATCTTGTGTAGAAGTGGTGGGTACTGAAGTGCTTGAACTATCTTGTGTGGACTCTTGAGTGGTAACATCAGGAAGCCCTTCTAATTGTATGAATTCAGATTTCTGTGAACTCGTATCTGAATCAGTTATCTCTAGTTCTGTACTTGATTTGTCTTTGTACAAAACTTTCTCGTTGAAGATCACGTTCCTGCTTCTGATAATCTTCCTGTTCTGATCATCCCAGAACCGAAATCCAAATTCTTCATCTCCATAGCCAATAAAGAAACATTTCTTTGATTTGGCATCCAGCTTGTTGCGAGCATCAGAGTCTACATGTACATAGGAAACACACCCAAAGACTTTTAGGTGAGCAAGCTGTACTTCTTTTCCTCTCCAGACTTCCTCGGGCAGTCTGAACTCCAAAGGTACTGATGGTCCATGGTTGATCAAGTAAACTGCAGTATGAACTGCATCAGCCCAGAATGTTTGAGGTAGCCCAGAATGCAACCTCATGCTTCTAGCTCGTTCATTGATGGTCCGGTTCATCCGTTCAGCAATACCATTCTGTTGTGGTGTGCCTGGAACTGTCTTTTCCATTCTGATACCGTTGACAGCGCAATACTCCTTGAAACCTCCATCAATGTATTCTCCTCCATTATCAGATCGTAAGCATTTCAGCTTCAAACCTGATTCAGTCTCAACCATAGCCTTCCATTTCTTGAACGTGTCAAACACATCAGATTTATTTTTCAGAAAGTAGACCCATACCTTTCTGCTAAAGTCATCAATAAAAGTGACATAGTACCGAGAACCGCCAAGAGATGCTACTGGAGCTGGTCCCCATAAATCTGTGTGCACCAATTCTAGTTTTCTTGGTCTTAAGGTCCTGCCAACCTTTAAGAAACTGAGCTTCTTCTGTTTTCCGAGAACACAGCTTTCACAAATGTCTAGATCAACATTTTTTAATTCTGGCAGCTTTCCCTTTGACTGAAGTATCTTCATCCCCTTTTGACTCATATGGCCGAGTCTACAATGCCATAGTTGCGCCTGATTTTCTGCTTCAGTAGAGGCAATTATATCTGCTGATCTTGTGGTCATATACAGGGTGCCGGTTTTCTTTCCACGAGCCAAAACCATTGCTCCCTTTGATACCTTCCACATTCCTCCAGAGAAAAGGATTGAATGGCCACTATCATCAAGTTGTCCGACCGAGATCAACTTCTTCTTTAGTTCAGGAACATGCCTTACATTTTGCAAGTTCCATGTAGATCCATTCATTGTCTTGATTTGCACATCTCCTATACCCACAATCTCCAATGGTTGTCCATCGGCCAGATAGACTACCCCATAATTTCCAGCAGTGTAATTTTGCATCATTTCATGGTGTGGAGTACAGTGAAATGAAGCTCCAGAATCAAGAACCCAATCATCAATAGGACTATGTACAGCAAGGATCAAAGCATCTTGTACCTCGTTTGTAGTGGCATTTACAGAATCAGCTTCAGGTTTCTTTGGTTTTGTGCAACTCCTCATAAAATGGCCAGGTTTGCCACAATTCCAACATTCAACCTGCTTCCTGGGTCCAAACTTGCTTTTGCTTCTGTACCTGGATTTTGATCTGCCTCTGGATAAGCCTCTGTCTTGTCTCCTTCCTCGAGTGTTGATGTTGAAAGCTGAACCTGAACTTGAGCTTTCACCCGAGTCTTTTCTTCATACTTCTTCAGCTAAAATCAGGTCTCGGATATCATCATACTTTAATTTGGATTTTCCGGCTGAGTTGCTTACGGCTGTTCTCATACCTTCCCAACTGCTTGGAAGTGAAGCTAGCAAAATAAGTGCTCGGATCTCATCATCAAACTCAATTTCAACGGATGACAATTGATTTGTGATGGTGTTGAAATTATTAAGATGCTGTGTAACAGAGGTGCTTTCTGTCATCTTCAGGTTGAACAGCTTCTTCATCAAGTGCACTTTGTTATTTGCTGATGGCTTCTCATACATCCCAGACAAGGCTTCCATCAATCTTGCTGTGGATTTCTCTTTTGTAACATTATGAGCAACTCTTCTTGACAATGATAGCCGGATAATGCCCAAGACTTGTCTATCAAGAATTTGCCAATCTTCTTCTGACATGTTTTCTGGCTTGCTCCCCAACAGAGGAAGATGAAGTTTCTTCCCATATAGATAATCTTCAATTTGCATTTTCCAATATCCAAAATCAGTTCCATCAAATTTTTCAATTCCTGCAGCCTTTATTTCATCAGCCATTTTTACTCTTTCTCGGATTTGAATCTGAAAAATCTGACCTTACAGATGTGTCCGGAATGGCCAAAAATGCTGGAAACGACACTGAGATCACCCAAATCGGACTTCGGATGGCTCCGATTTAAGCAATCAAAGTTTGGGATAACTGGACGCTGCAGATGAAGCCACGTGGCAGGAGGAATAGTCGCTGCGCCACACCGGATCAAAACCCAGTTATGCTGACGTGTCAGACACGTAGGCAATGTGGGACCCACCTAATCTGACGTGGCAGGGCCGCGGAAAATTTCGGCTGATGTGGCAGTGCTGACGTGTCGATGACGTGGCAGGGATGACGTGGCTGGTTGGCCGGTCAGACGGATGACGTGGCAGGGCGCGCGGCTGCTGACTGTGCTGGATGGCTGACGTGGCTGCTGACGTGGCAGTGTCGATTTGCAGGAATTGGCGAGGAAGACGCGTGACGCGCGTACGGCGCGTCTGTGCGCGTGGGCAGTCCTGGTGGTGGCGCGTGGAGGCGCGTGCGGGCATGCAGGACGTCGGATTTTCGCCGGGTTTTCACCAGTGGATTCCTCTCGTCGTCCTCTTCAAGGTGGTATGTTCAAAAACACGTTTTGAGAACTTGGATTTTTGAGTTTGGATCAAACACCCTCTTTTTCAAGAACTTTCAAGAACAAGCTCTGATACCATGTTAGGTGATCCAAACATTCAAACACACACATAAATTTACGTGGTTCGGCAACTTGCCTACTCCACGGAGCTACTGGTTTGTATTAATCAAGCTCAAAAGCAATACAAACAACAAAACAAGGAGGAGGAGAAAACTTCTCAACTCAACTCAACTCTCAACCCTTAGCTCTCTCTCTGTGTTTCTCTCTATCTCGTAGTCTATCTCAGCTATCAATACACCTTCTATTTATAGCTGAGGAGGGAGATGATTGTTCAACAATGGTGGGCAAGTTAGGCACCTACCATTTGACTATAATTTCAA